CCCATCGGAGAAATTGAGCTAACTGAATACAAACTGTCGAAGTGTGTTCTGTGTGTTCTGTGTGTTCTTCCCTAAGTGGACAGGTGTCTTTTGGGAGAAGTGCCCTGTTTCCAAGCAAAGAAGGCGAAAATGAAGGATCGGAAACATTTGCGCCACAAGAGCGGTTTCAAGAGTGGGGACAGTCCTCCCCCAGCCACAAAAGAAGGATTGACGCAGTTCAATCTGATGTACCTTGGTGAAATGGGTACGCTCTCCCAAATACACACCAATTCCCGGAATGGTTTGGAAGATGATGTATCTTCCTTTTCTGTTTGTTTGAGAGATTGGATACTACAGTCCAATAATCGAACCAATAGAGCGAAACACAGCGGTGAAACCCAAAATGTGCATCAAAAACACAAATCAGTCTTTATATTGGTCTCATATGGCTTTATGATGCTTTGTGGATTCTCTGGTTTCATGGTCTTGGGAATTGCTTCATGTAATTTCCATGATGTTCTAGTGAAAATGATCCGACCACACTAGCCTGGGCTGTCGTTGGACGGGCTCTCTGCAAACATCGTTATAGTATAGAATCAGGATAGTGGTTCTGAGCAGATTGAATGCAGTCAGTTTGAGTAAAAAAAAAAAAACGCGTGCCACAACAAGCTTAACAAGAAAATCAGATCCCCACGCCAACTTCCCACCACGTGTTCACTAGTTGTTGTTGACGAAGGAGGGTCAATGAAGGGTCGTACATGAGGCAACAACCTTCTCAACATCACCTTCTACCACAGATTTGTTCACACTGCAGCGAGGGACATGCAAAGCCTTAAATGAAGGCAAGTTATGACTTCACCCCAACACCTTTCACTTATGACTTCACGTCATTGACCTCGCATTTCTAAATCAGAAGACTCATTGAGTATGACTCACCCGTTGTTCACCCCGACACCCCGTTCTGTGCTTTGGACCGAAGCCACTCCTCGGCGGCGGGCACTTCCATCCACCCGATGTCCACCGGTCGCCGGTCGCCATTGCGCCAGCGTGGCCAGCCTTGGTGGAGTGGAGCGTGGGCCCTGTGAGGTGAGAAGTGGAGACGGAGAACATGAGGTATAACAGGTGGAGAGGTATACCATATGGTAGAACAATAACCCGGTGATGTTAAATACCCGGGTTTTCGCTGTGAGGTGAGCTGAGGTTATTGTTGGGCTCCGGGTTTTTGGTTCCTGGATTGGTCCCGTTATTGTTATAGCCAATAAGAGATCTTGAGAGGGGAGTGCCGGACGGCGCTCCTTTCTGTCGATTTTTTCATGATGGATTCTAGATGGTTCGATAGGGACAAAACAGTGGTACGAGTACCTAGCATACCTACAATGGATGCAAGTGGCTTGACTCTATATATACTCTAGGCATTCTGTTTTCGCGTCACCTTTTGAGACACAATATTGATTGACCTCATGCTCAATAATGATCAATATTGATTGATGATCCTGCAATCTCCAAGATTGAACTTCTCAAAAACCATGCCTTCGGAACGGACACCAAGGGCATCCTACAGGCGCAAGATAGACACCGTTATTCCGTGGCCATTGGTCTGCAAGTTGCCGAACCGAATGGCACTGTTTCAAATGACCAACCGAATCCTTTCAGCTAGGACTTCAACCTGAATGGAGGTCAGGTTCTCACCACCCCACTTCGTGTAACTCTTCGCGTGTTTTCTTCGCCCAGAAGCGTGGTCGATAGGGCTGACAACCACCCTCCTGGCCCAACGCCGCTGTCCGGGGTTCAATCTCTAGGGGTCCAGCCGCACCTCCTCAGGAGGTATGCCTGGACCCTCCTGGCACCCACCCCAGTCCCACCTTCGAAACGAAGGTACTTGGAGTTTTATAGGGAATCTTCCCAACTGGGTGCAGAAGTAAGTGGATGCCCTTCGGTGTGGTGTGGATCTCCTGAAAGCACCCTGAATGCTATTGAGCTGTTAGCCTCGAAAGAAACAGCAACCGTTCGAGGTGATGGCTTCGGCACATCCCTCGCAGTTTTGCTCGGCCGAGAAGTCTCTCCGAGCGCCCTCAGTTTTGGGTCCGTTCGACCGTGTCAGTTTCTGCATGAGTCCAGCACCAAGCACTTCAGAAGGCCGGATGGGGGCATGGTCAACGGGAGCATCGGGGCATGGTCGCATCAAGGCGGGATGGGGTGCTTCACAGCACTGATCGGCAGAAGATGAACAAGTCGACCTAGGCACCTCCGAACCCCAACAACAAGCTTCCTCTGAGCCTCAAATAGGCACCATTTCTGGGTCGACCTAGGCCCCATTTCGCTCAGCGTTTCACCCAGTCGAGACAATGCGGCCACCACAGCACCCTCACCTGTTCGGTCTTTTTCGTGCGATGTCGGCAGTCCCGTTCACCCGTGGCTGGAGGGGTTCAGAAGAGCAGGTAAACCGCTGAAAATGGATGCTCCAAACAGGTCCCTCAAAACCATAGGGATTTGCGGTCCGGACCCCTCTATTTGAGAGACCGATCCCTCCATATGAGGGTCCAGGAGCATCTGGGCTGGTCGCCTTTCTCCACTGTTGATGTAAGCTTCGAGCGCTTCAATGAAGGTCATTCCGTCTGTTGAATGATGTGAGGTACATGATCTTTGCTCCATTCCATGAGGTAAAACTCCAATCCTTCCGGCAGCGACTTGAATGGAGCGTGGTTTTCATCATCGAAGTCGTGAAAGACTTCGCGCACACATGCCGAACATGCACATCCTTGTCACAAATCCAGGTTGTACCTGGCAGCACGATGTTTTCTCTCCGGTACATAGGTTTGGATGTCTTTGTTGGACATGTCTTTTTCGGAGACCAGATGTCCCAAACATCTGACCGGTGCAAGCACGATGGTCCAAAGCTTCCGTTCGGGACCGTCGAAGCGGGTCGGGTCATCGAACCGTTGAACCGGCCACCGGTCGAGGTCGCTCGTTGAACCGCACCGATTCCACCGAGGTGTTGTAGCACTTTTCGAGGTGTACGGCGTGTAGGTTGGGGTGGTGGATTGAAAAGGGGTGAATGGGGGGTGGTGAATGGGGGTGGCAAAAAAGATACGAGCGTAAAAAAAAAACGTTTCAAGCAGGTCGTGTCCATGAGTTATGACCTCCGAATTTCCTTCTTCTGAAAACCACTTGGTACTTCACACACCCCTCACGGTCGAAGTGTTGTTTCTTGGGTGAGGTGGTCGCTCTTATGTTTCAAACGCTAGTTTTTTCTGGAGGGATCGGACCTATAATACGGAGGGGCCTGGGGTCTCAGGCCATTAAACCTGGGTTTTGAGGGACCAAGTAGGGCTGTGAATGGAGCATCTGGGATATATGTATTTCCTTGAAGTAAGAGTGGACATGAGTGGACCTCGGTGATCCACTTTTCTCCGTCGATGGCATGGTAGCCCTCAGATCGGTTTGGAACACAGAACGCCGCCAAGCCACACATGACCTGAGACCTGCTTCGCCGACCTCGTTGCTGGAAAAGCTTAGGTGAAGGACACATCCCAGTTGCACGTTTATCGCCGGATCGAAGTCGCATCGACCCGTCTCCGCGACCCGTTTTATCGCGAGCCGTATCCGCAGAGATCTGCAGGCGTCTCTGGCGTCTCTGGCGTGGAATTCTTCGAACTCGTCGTGGCTTCGGCAGCCTCCGCGTCCCGTGCGCAGCCACGATCGATCTCCTTCGACCGTTCCTGTCGACCGTTCCAGACACGAAGATCAATCCTCAGCCCTCGCGCTGCCTCAGCTGCACCGTCCCAGAAACCACTCTTCCAGTCACAAAGTGGTGTGGCTCGTCCCATCCAGTGAGTGGATGTGACAGGGGCACCCCTAACCTCCAAGCTCGGCACCCCGTCTTGTGACTGCTGGTTGATCATCCTTATTATCCGCCGACCCCACACCGTGGGGTGAGGCGTGACTGTTGATGTTAGCCTTAGCCTTAAGCCTTAGCCTTAGCCTTAGCCTTAGACTTATAGCCTTAGCCTTAGACTTAGCCTTTAGCCTTAGCCTTAGACTTAGACCTTACCTCCCCTACCCCTCCGGACCCTTGTTGCAGTGAGGAAATCCGCCAAGATTCCTACCAAAGTGCGACGTGATTGCGACGTGATTGCGACCTGGATTGTCCAAGATTCTGCCATCCCAATTGATTTACATCTTGGGGCACCCTCTCCGCCCGCGCGGGAAAATAAGCACGGTCCAAAATGGTCCCGGGCTCGAATCCCGGGCTGGTCGCAGCGTGTTCCCGGCCAATGCCCTTGATTTTTCCTAGGAATGCTCTAGGCTTTGTCTAGATGTTGTTACGTTTTCGGCTGGATGCTTTTCCAAGAATTTTCTAGCATTTCCTCTTGTTTTTGGGTTCCTAGATTTCCCCAAAAAATTGTGAACCTATTGCTAACCTATTTTATTCCATTGTTGTACCTATTGCTAACCTATTTTATTCCATTGTTGTACTCATGCCTATACCCTTGCTTTTTCCTAGATTTTGTGACAATGTGTTGGAATTGTCGGATTTCCCGGGCTGGTCGCGGCGTGGTCCCGGCCAATGCCCTTGATTTTTCCTAGATTTTGTCACGTTTTCTGTTGGATTTGTGGGATTTTCAATGGCTTTTCCAGCATAAAGGCTTTTCCAGCATTTTCCTAGGAATGCTCTAAGCTAAAGGCTAGGGCTAAGGTCTAAGGCTAAAGCTAAGGCTAGCGCTAAGGTCTAAGGCTAAAGCTAAAGGCTAGGGCTAAGGTCTAAGGCTAACTAAAGGCTAGGGCTGGGACCCGACCCTGCCACTAGATTTTCCCTTGGGGGTCGGCGGCTGCAGGCGGTAGCCTGGTAAATTTATACTGTATGATACTGTATGATAATCTTAGATACACTGAGGCGTGAGTACCTTCTTCCCCGAAGGTGTTGTTTTTTCCATGTGTTTGTCCTGAATACGGAAGATGATCGATGTCCCAATAAAATACAGCTTGGATCTCTCAAAAGATGCCGATGTCCATTCCTTTGGGGGTCCAAAGATTCTCCACGCCACGGGCAGCCAGTGTCATCTTCGTCATAAAGTCCACACTCTCCAGGCACCAGCTCCTGGTGGCTGAACCCCGGCCGCATCGGTTCCGGTTGGCGCGGTCTCCAAGAAAGTCCAACATCCAAAAGCTCGGAAGCAAGCTCCCAACACATATCCAAACACTCATCAAACTATCTGGGTCATCCTCTCTCGATTTTCCAGGCTAGACTACCCAGACTGGGCTGCTAGATTGGACCTCCAGGCAGGACACCCAGACAGGATGATCCTGGTACCCATCTCCTCGCCAGTTCTCCAATTAATTCCACTTCTCTCTTCACCATTCTTAATCTACCCATTCTTACCACTTAATTCTTAAATCAGGACACCCATACCCATTCTCAAATCAGGACACCCATTCCTACCACTTCTTGACAGGACACACCCATTCTTAAATCCACTCCTTCCGGTCCCTTTGACTCCTTTGACCTTCCCTTTTTCCTCGGTCCTCTGGATCATCGCACCTGGACCTGTGCTCCTCAAGCTCCGCCTGCGCCTCGCGCTGCGGGAAGCCAGCGCCCGCCTGCAGGGAGATCGCCCAAAGGAAGGTTCCGTACTCCAACACCAGGCGCCGCTTCCTCGGGCGGAAAAAAATGGGGAACGGTTCAGAAGGGCGAAAGGCCTTCGAGGAAGACCAAGGCAAGAACAGTGATGGACACTTGGAGGGTGGGACGCCTCTCAATGGAACTTTACTACTTACTTCATGCCCACATGGTGCCCACCTGGTGCCCACCTGGTGCCCACATGGGCCTTCTATGAAAGCAGGGCAGTTCCTCCCAGCTCCTCCCAGTCGAGCCAGGCGTCAGTGCTTCTTGAAGCGAAACGTTGTGGCACAAGTCAGTGCGGTGGCCCAAGCGATATTGCCTGGCGCGGCATGTGTTGCGGCTTCTGCCGGGCTTGGAGAGCGAAACATGGGGAGCAAAAACATGCAAAATCCCCAAAGGGAAGCAATGTAAAAAGCTCTGAAGAGCTGTGAGAAGTAAGGTCCTTACAAATAACTCCAAGTAGACAATTGATGTTTCGTTCGTTGAAACACCTGGACAACCTTGAATCTTCATTGCTTCTCGATGTTCCTCGGAAAAACTCTCAAACAATTGGTGTGTCAAACCTCCGCTGGACATTCCTGTTTGCACAAGCTCATGAGCGAGACTGCGCTGGCTGTGGGTTCAGCTGGCCAGTGTTGTCGAAGAAAAGGGCAAGCGAGTCACATGCTTCATTGCTATGCATGGTGATGGAGCAACTCCTGCGTTGGAAGCAGTTGCAGCCTGACAGTTGGGGGCCTAACATCTATGACTCATCTATGGCCGGCCATGTTCACTGTTGGGGCCAAACAGGCATGTTGGTCGCACTTCCGTGCACGATTTAGTCGTCAAGAGTGCTCCCATTTGCCATCTATTCTACTTGAATTTGGATTGGTGGCATCGGGGCACTTGATTGCTTTGAATGCTTGACACACGCCCGGTGAGGCCAAAAAAAACAACACAAAGACCCTGGAAGAAGGTAAATAGACCAAAACCCATTGGGGGATTTCCCTATTACAATACACACCCACACTTCAGCGCCATTTGGCCGCTCTTTGCGAAATGAACCGACGCCCGCCTGCGCCGGAAGCGGTACGCGGCGCTGAAGCCGCTGCGCGCTCCCAGCCAGCGTGCCGCGTGGTCGTAGGTCTCTCGCGGTGTTCGCCGCAGCGAGGCTTGGTGAAGAATCAGCAAGCGTCGCGTGGAGAAAATCTCCAGGATCACCTCAACGCATGCGTCCTATAAGGTAGGTCGGTCCGAGCAGCACCAGCGAGCTCGGGACACGCGAGTCGTCCGTCGTTGGACGGAAAGGACACTGAAGAAAGACGACCAGCGCCTTCCGTTCGGGGTCTCCAATAGACGACCATGCACCGACCATGGATCTCCATTGAGTAACCCTTTGAACCCTACAAACTCCTGGCCCACCTCCACAGGATAGGTGGTTGGGGTGGATGCCAGGCGGGTCTAACCACCGATCTTGAGGAGATGGGCCAGGAGCGGTAGGGGAAGGTCCAGGTACAAACAAGAGTCTCTTGGCCTCCTACGGGTGAGGGACCAGGGACCCCAAAACCATCGCTCAACCCATCACAATGTGTGGCTGAGAGCACATTGTGATCGCAAAAGTCAGGATGCTTTTTGGGGGTGACATGCTATGTGCATATATACATTGATATACCACTAGCCTGCACGGAAAGCATGTCTGCAAGTTGCGAGGTCTTTAGGTGTTCATTTCAGCCTGGTCCGGAGCCACCGTATTCCGTACTCTCCGTCTGGATGTGGAGTCCCACGACATTCACATCACCTCCCAAACAAAGCCGAACCACACATAACCGCAGCTTGAGCAGGTCGTGGCCAAGCCTATTTCGTGTCACAAAAAAACATACCGAGCCAAAGTGTGTTTCACCTGGGATGGAAGACTCCCGCGCCTTCAAGTGGGGAGCCAAGAACTGTGCTCTCAGCCACGGCTGTAGTTCCCATGTGAGCAAGGCACCGATGCTGCTATAGCACCTCCGATGAAGAAAGCCCAACATATATACAGTGGTTTCAGAGTAGATGGCAGACCCCAAGATGTCTTGAAAAGATGGGGGCATATAATACAAACCAACTAACTTGGGGGCCCAAACGTGCCATTGGTCCTCTCTGTTTCCTCCGGAAAAAAGTTCCATCCGGCTGAGCCACCCACCCAGACTCGGACGGATGATCTGGCGATGACGGATGATCTGGCGATGATCTGGCTATGTCTGGTTAACTTGGAGGTTCAGAGTCTATCTTTTGGGGCGGCGTTGGTGGCCACCATCGGTTTCTTGTGCGGCATGCTTTGGTAGATGAAAGGCAACTGCTCCATTTAACGGTAGATGTGCGAATGGAGCGAATGGAGTGGAGTTTAGAAAAGCCCTTAGGATGTTGGACAGCTGTTGGGCCTTCCCAAATCATTTTAGGAGTAGCAAATCCTGAAGTGTAGTTCCCTAGGGATCCACATACCTTCTCAGAAGGTACTTGGACCCCCCCATGCCTATGTAGAAATGATTAAACATGTTTCCAATCACCTTCTAACAGGGTATTAGATGGTATTGTTTGGCTGCTGATTTTAGGATTAGCCCTAGATATAGGACCTCAGCATCCTCATTCCCGCCTTTCTTGCTTCGGCCGCGCAGCGTCCCCCCGGCGCCAAGCGTCCTGCAGGTCGTGGTGACAGAACTGCCAAAACATGAAGAGCTTCCTGGCAGCACTCGATCGTGGCGCGTTGCGCTCGATCGTGGCGCAACGTCGATCGTCCAACATCCCGAATGCCGCAACAAAGAAGACCAACAAGGCCCGTGCCAGCTCTCCATCTGCCATTAAACTCCAAACCCTCATACTATCCGGTACCTCCCTACTTCCGACCACGGTCCATCCCGGCCCGGCGAAGCCGACGCCGAAGGAAAGCGTTTTCCAAGTGCTCGTCCGGCCACTGGCGGTCCGCCAAGTGTCTCCAGGCGTCGCAAGGGATCACAAAGCACCAAGATCATCCTGAAGTTCGAAAGTTCGACAGCAGATCCGGAAGATCATACCCTATCGATCCACATACCGAACCAGGTCGGTACGGTGATTGGAGACTTTCCTATGGATCCACATACCGAAGCTGAGGTACGGTGATTGGAGACTTTTTGTGTAGGCTTGGAGGGTCCAATTACCTTCTGAGAAGGTATGTGGATCCATAGGGATATAGATCCAAAAAGGAAGAGGAATCACTCTTCTATAGAACTTAGGGTTGCTGTGGTCAGATGTGGTAAGAGAACTATATACTATATAAATCTATATAATAACTAGTTCAGTATTTAATTATGCCGTAGACTGTTTTGGGTGAATTCCCATCTGCGCACCCCGTTTTCTTGGCAGAGTTAGCCAATGAAACGTTCAAGCAAGTCACGTCCGTCCCGATTCGGATCAATTCGTTGGTGGTTTGTGTGACAACGAGAGCCCACTCGACAAAAGCCTCCCCATAACTGTGACCAAAAAGAGTCTCCACTATCTCAAGTTCTCCCTCAAGTTCTTGGGAAAACGCACCCAAGCTTTGAGGGGTGGTGGATAGATTCTGACTCCCTCATGTTCAGCTGAACAGAGCGAACTCCAGCTGTTCAATTTCACCGCGGAAATCCGGTGCCCCCAATCCCCCCCCAAAAAAAAAGGTTTCGCAGGTGATCCACGTACTTCCTGGCTAGGCGGCTCGGCTAAAGATGGTCCTTAAAGTTTCAGGACTGTCAGTGTGGGGGGCCCAAGTGTCAGTATTGGGGGGCTCAAGTTAGTGTAGGGGGCCCAACTCAATATATAGGGTCCAAGCCAGTGTAGGGGACCCAAGTCAAACGCTGAGGAAAAAAGAACAAAACGACTTTCAGCAAATTCTCACCACGGGTCTTGGTCGATCTCATTTCCGCGATGGCATGGTAGGAGAGTGGATAAGTCACAATCACTGGGTTTTTCAGGCCCATGATGCTGGCGCCCATGGATGGTTGCTGATTCTTCGTGGATCGTTGTGCCACGTGATTTTCCACTTGCGCACGGGTTGGGACCAACTTGTTTCGCTGCCCCTGCATGAAGATACTGTAGTCCTGAAGAGTGGCCAGGAGCGGTGATAATCTGGATTGATTGATACTGAAATGACCCGAAGAAGAAAGAAGAAGAAAAAGAAACGAACAAGGAGAAGCAGTCTGAGGAACTCATTCGGGCAGTAGACCAACCTGTTCATCTATTCTGATCCCAACGACTTGTTCATTCAACTGAGCGCCACCTACGAAAGCATGCAATCTGGCTTGCTGCCGTCCCTTTCCTCTCAACCACCCAACAAAGCCAAGTGTGAGCTGGCACTGGGTCCATCCGACCAGCTGCACCGAGCCTCAGCCCCTCCATCTCCCCTCCTCCGCAGTCGGACCAAGTGTGAAGTCAATCTCTGGGTGATGATAGAGGTTGTAGTGCAACCTCAGCTGAGCTTTTCGCAAACTCCAAGGCGTCAGCCCACCATGACCTGGCTTCGCATTTTTTTATCAGCTGACTCAATGGCTGGATGAATGAGTCTCCACTCAAACCTGTAGCTAAAGGCTAAAGGATACATGAAGAAGGAAGAATAGGTCGGATGATGAAGGAAATGAAAGAAGTCTTCATGTTCAACAAATCCATAGCGTCTAGCGATCTTCAGTGTTCAACCGTCGAGTGGGCATGTTCGCGGTTGGAACTCTGCAGGGTACACCATGGCAAGCCAAATAAATCCATCTTGCAATGTTCAGTCACGTCCCCTCTTCGTTCACTTCTCTTGTTGTCAATCTGTGACCTGCCTTAAATCCCCTCAACTCCCAACGCAGAGCGGCAGCCGTTTTGGGGCCGTCCCTCGTGCCGAAGATGGTGCACCAAGTTGGCGCAGGGTCATCATAGACCCCGTGAAAAGGAAGGGAAAAGGACCGGGAGGGGTTCCGGGTGATTGATTCGGTAGCACTTCTTGGCAGATCAGAACATCGCAAAAAGCATCAAACAATCATGTGGTAATTTAATCTCATAGCCTGACTTAAGTCAGCCAAGGCTTCAGTCTGCAACCAAAGATGCTACATCTCTCACATTCTACCGAAAATACCCCTGGTCGCCGGTCGGTCGAAGAGTTGATCGAATTGCTTGGAAGCGTCCGGAAGTTGCAGGAAAAGGCGGTCACTTGGTGACCGAAGGCAACAAATGTCCACCAGCAAGAGAACTGATTTCAACGTGTTGTTGCAAAAACCAGTTCTTAGATGATCATAGTCACCTGTGTTGATTGTTAGATGATTGTCAAATATGACAAGTCCTGTATAGGACAAACTTGTTGTTTGTCAAAGTGACTTGCTCTCTATGACTCTAAATGAGACGTTAAAAGAGGCAAGCCATTGCAAACCAATTCAACAAACAACATGGAATAGATTGGAATAGCGCATCGTCTCAAACGGGCCTTCCTTGAGCTTCGACTCCTCTACCTCTCCTCTTCGACTCCTCGGCCTCTCCGAACAAGATCTTTGAAGCGTCTGGGATTCCTTGCAGCTGCGGAAGAGAATCGCGCCACCTGCACGGTGTTGGCTTCATGTTCAAGGCGTCCGGGAGGCAGAGCCTGATTCCGGGGAGCTGCGATTTTCGGCACGTCAAGAGACCTATAGACGTCAAGTTCGGAGTCATCAAAGTCTACTTGATCTTCCATAGAGATCGCCACTGCAATCTTCAAAGATTGAAGTGTTCTGCGATTGCTCTCCACTTCTTGACCAAATCTCGGAGGATTCGGAGGGGAAGGAATGATCTCTGTGGTGCCCACCGCATCATTAAAGGGGACCACCTCCGATTGTCGCGCGAAAGAAGCTCTGGCACTTGCTGCACAGCCCATGGCATGCACCCGCAGTGGAAAAGCGCTTGTGGAAATGCACCCCGGTGCTCGCGCGAATACACGAAAACTATCGAAAACTGCCATAGTTTGAGCAAAATGTTTCGATTATGCAATCAACCCGTGAGTCGCTACAGCATGGTCCCGACAAACAATGGGACACGCTGCAGAATGATTCCAAAACCCCCAACTGGCTGGGGGTAAAATTAGTAAGCCAAACCTGTCCTGGATGTCATTATGCTGCTATACTGCAACACTACATCTAAATAAAACATCTACTCCAGCTGAATCAGATCTGTGAGAAGCGCGAATAGTCGCTATATACAGTTGGCCTGGGTTGATTTTAAAAAAAAGGACCGTGTTCGCTTGGCCACACCGGAGGGTTTGCTTCGCTTCGAAGCTCTGCTTGCATGCTGTGAGCCCAACCCTTTCAGGAAAGCCTCAAAACCGACTTGGGGCCGATGTTCATCACCAAAGCACATCAGAACATCCCTGGAGATCTGGATGTGAATCATGCACCTTGCTAATGTAAAACATGGTAAAACCATCTAAGCCTCTAGTCTTGTGAGCCTTTGGCCTCATAAACTCCTCCCTCCACCCTCCAGCCCTGCAGCTTCCCCAGTGGATCCCAGGCCATACCAGGAAGCAGAGTTGGCTTTAGTCGAACTGGAACCACTCGTTGCCAGCTATAGTCTATAAGTTAGTCTATATTGGTTTGCCTGGAATCCCCTGAGTGCGGACTACTTTCCCAACCGCACCCGCTGCTCACTTTCGGCACGGTGCCCATCCCTCTCTCCACCGACCGCCGCGTCCCGGGGCCGAGCGAGCTCGGCGCCGAGCGGCGAGCTCGTGGCACAGCGCTCCGCTCCGGCGATCACGAAGTGCAAAGGGATCGAAGACCAGTCGACGAGTTCGGTCACGGCAATCTCATGTCCTCCGGGTTCGAGTGCGGGTTCGAGTGGAGGTCCAGTTCAGATGGGAGTCTCGGATTGGACTGGCTGGAGGTGGATGAAGCCGTTCGGAAAACCCAATGCAAAAAGAAAAGGAGGCAGAGGCGGCAGAGGTGTTAAAACATCTTCCCGCATGGGGAAGGGATTCCCCCCGGGAAGGTGGGAAAATCTAAGAACATATTTCACCCTTCAAACCACCCAAACCAGGGAGTTGTTCTAAATCGTCGTTTCAGGAAGTTGTGCGCGCAAAAATACTCTACGACTGAACGGAACTGAGGAAGGAAGGATGGGAAGCTCCATCCCAGACCAACCTTGTATGGAATAGTTACCTACATTGGGGTCATAAATAGGGTAAATTTGGTGCAAATGTATGTATATAACTATTCCAGTCCCAGACATAGTCTGGTCTGGGATGGAGACAGGATGGTTTCAACCGTTGCAACCCTTGAAACAGTAAGGGAGAGATGCAACCATTCTGCTTGAGGTGATTGATGACGCAGAGACATGTCTTTTGGTGGCATGCGCCAAGAAGGTAGGTGAAGGGGGTTCTCCATGCTTCGGTCCAAACCACTCACAAAACCCACCATAATTGAAACAGTAATTATATATATTACAATATATGTACAGATCTGAGATTGACTACTTGAAAGTGAAGTTCACATTCCAAGGGTGTCCCCAAAAGTCAATTAAGAATGATTACCCAGATGCTCCAAACAGCCCTTGGTCGCTCAAAACCCAGGAATTTGAGACCCCAGACCCCTCCATATTAGGGGTCGGATCCCTCCATATCAAGGACCATGAGCGTCTGGACAAGCCGAGGATTTGCTTAAGGAGCTGGGAGAAAAACAAAACAACCAGAAGTGGATTCACCCGGAACAAAGTAACCTTAAGCCTTAAGCAAAGGCAGGGAAATGCTCCTGCAGTTCTATGTCCACCCCTTTCCGCGCCGCCAAAACCGCCGCACGGTGCTCCTGGGAGCGGCGGCATCGCCGTGGCCGAGACCTGCATCTGTTCGGCCAGGAAGTGTGTCAAGGCCACTGGACCGATCTCGCTGGGGCCACAGGCCTCGTGCGAACAACCCAACACGCGGCCAACACGCGGCCAACACGCGGCCGGTTCGAAGGGAACACATCCTGAAGCCACCATTTCACCCCCACGGCCAGTTCCTTCGGAGTGCTGGTGTCCCTACCCCAAATAGTGTCCGTGTCTTGCTTTTGGACCGTGGTGATGTTGGCGCTTTGGCGCTTGGGGTGGCGACATGTGGTGACCAAAACCCACGTGTAAATGGTAAAATACCCAAAGTCACTGTAGTCGATTCCCTCTCCCTCTCTCAAATGCTGGTGTTCAAAACAGGCACCACTCCTAACCAGCTGGCCATATAGTGTCCGAATGTTTGAAACCAAAAAAGAACACCGCCCTCATCTCCGCACTAAGTGCTCCCAGTCACCCAGTCAACGCCATCTTGAAACCTCTCCTGCCGTAAAACCTCTTCCGGCCACTTTTTCTTTCCCAGACACCGTCAAAATTTACTATGTTCCTTCAAGATTAAAGAGGAAGACAATTTGACATCGAACAGAAAAATCTTGGAAAATTTATAGATCATAAATAAACAATTGAGCTATAGATCTTAAAATAACAATTAGAAGTTATAGATCATAAATAACAATTTTGAAAAAAGGAACACGCTTTCCGCGGCCCGCTGCATGGCGCCTTCGGCCCACAGAAGAGCCCAAAGACCGCCGCGGCACTCCGCGCCGTCGGTCCACTTGCCGACGCGTTCGGCTCGTCGACGCGGCGCAGCAGGTGGGACATGGCAAAGCCCAGCTCCCAGGCGCGGCCGAGGACGGGGAGCTCCAGGCAGCAGCGAAGCGCGTTTCGGGTGGATCCTGGGGTAGCCAGGAGCGCGTTTGGTCTGAAACGGAAAGAGGGAGGCAGGAAGTAGTTATCTGGTGGATACCTGGTTAGATGGCCTTGTGCATCCCACCAGTAAACTTTGGACCTGGATGCAGGGAGCTCTTTTGGCTGGGTAAATGTATAGAGGAAGAGATCCAGCAGCTCCTCAGCAGCTCCTCACCAGCTCTCCAGCTCCCTTTGGAATTCCAAAATCAACCCTCGTGTTTTCCCCTCCTCCGTCCCCTCCTGGTTCACCGGAACTCACTCCCAAGTTCCGCGGCCAACGCTCAAACCTCGTTCCGCTCCAAGTCTCTCATGTGATCCTTGACATTCTCATGCTTTCCCGGGCGCCAGGTCGCAGGCAAGCCCACCAAGCACGGTGGACCGAAGTCCTCACCACGTCCGCTGACGTCCACGTCGGCGGAGGCTGACTTCGGTCCAAAACCGTCCACGCGGGTGTTCAAACCGAAGAGGAAGAGGTCCCACAACTACAGTAGTATAGGTCCCGAAAACAGGACCTGACCTGCCTCTGGCCTTCAAAACCTCAGATTTAATTTGATGCTGTAAGTGATAAGTTCTTTTGAAGCAGCAGTAGATGTATGAGGCTTCTCGGGCCACAAATCTTTGACCCGGACCCACGTGGGTCTGTGAAAATGTCCCCACCAACTCCGGTGCTGCATCCACTTGTTCCACTTTTGCTTGGTTGAGGGATCTTGGAGACTGCAATGTTGACCCAAATGAGCATACCCTGGATGCGTTGGTTCTATGTCCTAGGACTGAGGTTCCATGTTTTCGACCTGGCTGCCAGACATGTTTCGCGGGTTCCGCGTTCCCAGTGGAGTTCCGTGGGTCCCTTTTTGGAGCGATGCCCCAATCCGAAAGACGGTGCTTTGGTCTCGAGACCCGACACGGGGCTTGGGCGCCTGACACGGGGCGCTCTCCCGGAGTGCTCTCCCGGAGTGGTCGGGAGACGTGAACCCGGAGAGGATAACATACCTGGACCTTCTTTCGGGGTGTCCTGTCTGGAGGTCCCGCCTTAGTGGGCTGGGGCGAGGCGAGCTACCCAGGTAAACCGAAGAACAGAAGGTGGTAGTATGTATCATCCAGGCGGACGAATCGTCACATCATCATCCGCTTTTGATGCCTGCTGGCCCTCTGCTGGCTGGTCGTCCAACGCATGCTTAATATTTGATCATATCATACAATGTTATTACATTAATAGCTTAATACCTGTATCTGTATCTGCTGGCTCTCAAGGCACTCACTAGCACTCGAAAGGACAATTAAAAACCATTCCACACCGCCAGGCTGGCCATCCGAAACAAGTGCAAACCACGACATCTAACCATCTAACCTGGTTGGGTGGTTTCAACTTGAAAACTATGAGTCAGTGAGTGAAACAATCCTCCCAAGTAAAGGTTGAACATATATACACATCCACCGAAACATCAACCATTGTGAAACGTGAAATATGCAACAACATGTTGTAGATCTTAGATCCACTTGATCAGTTACTATCCGTTTGTTGAAACCACCACCCCATTCTCCCTGAATCGAACTCCGAGCGTTCCTTGAAGAGCGTTCCGCAGTCCGAGTCCGTGAGCTGAAGCAACGCAAAGCCCAACGCGAAGCCCCGCATCGCCCGGTCTCCCGGTCTCATCGCCGAAGGCGAGAGACGTCTCCTGAGCGTTCCCCAGACGTAAAAACATGTGTAGCTGGGGGTGGTGGCGCCTTTGCCTCAATCCGAAATCACCTGAATTCGTGGGACCTGCCTTCACAAGAAGGAGGCTTTGCGTGCCTCAAAGGGCTCAGTGGACTGCAAAAATCCTCTTGAGACCTTGCGGAGCTTCCCACTGCCCACCTTGCCATATTTGCACCATGCTCCAAATCAAGCAACTTGAAGCAGCACGCAACGATCTCCATGAGAAACATCATGACCCATCCAACGTTGCTTGGCATGAACCCATGGCTCACAGGATGCTCATGGCAGTCGGGTTAACTCCGCCACTGGCCGCCCTCGAGCATAAGGCAGTCTCGTGTATCAATCTACAAATCTGAAGTCTTCACAGATTCGGACAGCACAAGAATCCTCCCACCTTTGAACATGGCTGTGCGAAAGCGAAGTGGATTGAATTCATACCTAAACCCTCTTGGATTCCTCGGCCAAACCCTCGCCGGCACTGGGCCTCTGAGCAGGTCGTAGCGGTTCCAGCTGTGCGAGGCCTGACCAAGGCAATTGTGACTGCTCTGCTACTGCTACCTTTTTCCACCTGTTGCACCATCCAAGCAATCTACACTTGAGATTGCAGACCCTGAACACATTAGTGGGCTACCCTTACATCCCTTACCCCAATGGCTCCACATCATTGCTGACTCATCCCACAAAAGATCTGTTTGGTTCGATCGCAAACCTGAGTGGCCACTGGATCCCTCAGCTTCGGAAGATTTCTGCCTCGAAACCATCAATCTACAGTGCTTTCAGTGGTTCATTGGCACAAAACCACCCCAAGATCTCTTGAAAAGATGGGGGTCCACATTTCAACCACCAGACTTGAGGTGAATTTGTGCCATTGGTCTTTTCAAATCCACAAAAAAAAAACACTATTTGCCGGAAAACACACCATACATGGTTTGGAAAAAAAAACAGACAAAACCTACCCCACAAGAAAGAAGTCTTTCCTCCCCATGGATGGTTTCAAAATATTCCAGTCCCATTTGTCGTGTCTGGGACCCAGGGAGATCACCCACCCGCAGCTTTTGCCTGTCAAAGCCGCAGCTCACCGCTCGAGATCCGCAAGTCGACGCGCGCGCCATGGAGCGGGCGGTGTTTCTTCCCCGAAAAGGCGTGCGATGGGCTAACATCAACATGGGCATGTATGTATGTGTGCATGTAAAGTGATGTATTGGTGTATATCATATATCTAAATAGTCATATTCATATACTGTACTAGCTGTACGATAATTAAAGTTTGTACAATGTTATAATAAGATTTAATAAGGTGGTGGTCCTTGAGTATTTCACTGTAGACTGTAGACTCCAAGAACGTGCATTTAGAAGAAAACGTCCGACCCATACCACTGATTATACGGAGATTCCTTCTGGTCCCCATCATCTAAATCGACCTCGGCACCATCCATTTAGTCGAGTTTCATGGGCGACTGCACGTGACTGGACTACAGTATGGGGGTTGCTTGCCATAGTCAAACTCCCAGTTGCATGCCCTGTCCGTTGACTGCGTCGAAGGATGCACAAAATGCAGAAAGAGACATGTCCGTTTAGCATCCGTGTCTGGACTGCAGGTCCATCTAATCATTCATCATAGTATTGCATAAAATGTTGATGTCGACCCTGCATGTGTTTACTTGATTGTGAGATGCACCTGCTACGCCATTGATTCCAAAAAAGTTGATGGCGAACATCATCTAAAGCAAACTCCTTCTCATCTCATGGATCTGCTTGAGCCCTCCTGACATCAAAAACAGGTGCCAAACGATGGATCTTTCAAGAAACTCTCTCCGATCAAGTCTCTATGCTTCACCGGTCCGACCGCGGGTCGCATGCGGACCTTTTGCCACCGCGGGTCGTTGCGGCAGGTTGCGGCAGGTGTTTCGACTCCTCTGTGTGCTGCGCTTCGTTCGTCGCCCGAGTTACGTCCGTTGCATGGGTCTGGTGGTCTGTGAAGAGCTAGGGCCTGCCGACGGTGGTTCACTTCCAAGTCACGGTGACTGTTCTCTCATTTAGAGCATTTAGTCACGAATGGCTAGCTTCTTTGAAACCTCGCACCAAGTGCCAAAAAGTCATGTGCACTGAAACGAACTGCAGACAGAAACTCGCTCCTCAGAAGAATGACTGATACGTTTGCTAAGGATTTAGACACACAAATAAAGCGACGTCGCTCTGCACAGAGTCTGCTCGACTTCGTGCCAAGCCTGGAAGAGGCAGACTCTCGCAGAGTCCTGAGCGGATGAGCCAGCAGTCTTCCCAAAAAGTGGGGCCAGAGCTGGATTAAGCAAGGAGCACGGGGATGGTTCCATATGGTTCCCATGATTAAGATGACTTGAAGCCCTTTTTTGAGGGCAAAAGCATGTAAAAGCACAATTCCAGCACTGCTTTGTTCTGCTTTGTTATCCATCTGACAAGCGCTTCAAACCGGACAAGCTAGTCTTTTGCATCCCAAACCTCCAAGAGTGTACATATCATCTTGGTCTCAACACCACAGAACTCTGCCACATTGTCCATGGCCACGTCAAGGGGTGTCTCGCAAAAGGCCGATTCAGCAGCAGTGTTCGCACTCCTGGACAAAAGTAGTTTGACGCAATCTAAATGTCCACTGAAGGCGGCATAGTGCAAGGGCGTCTCATGAATGTGATCTTCCGCATTGGGATCAGCACCTAAATTCAGAAGGGCTTCCAGAGCAGCCACATTCCCATGAGCAGCCGCGACATGTGTGGCCATATGTCCCAAACTGCCTTGTAAGGAAGTGCTGTTGATGACCATTCCTGAGCCCAAGCGTAGGATCTTCGAGATGTCCTCGGCACTCCCACCTCGGGCGGCAGCACGGATCACTGGCCCAGCCGCGATGCGGCGCAAACAATGGTGGAAACGGTTCAAACCACCTCTGGCCAAGCTCAACTTCTCCAAAATCTCATCAACATCCTTCTGCAATGTGGCCTTACACTCTCTGGCATCCAGTTCCACCAGCTGCTCAGCAATTTTCTCATCGAAGGTTCCAAATGCCCACGAGCCATTGGGAAAGGGCACCGTACAGGCCATGGCACCAGTGGCACATACAAAATCAATCACCTTCGCTGTCTTGCGGGCCACGTGGAAAGCATGCATGAACCATGCTCGATTGATGTTCACCCCATGACCCGGCCACAGGAAGGCTCGACCATCCGTGTTGCGATTCAAGCGAACCACTGCTCCAGCCTGCTCTGGCGCATCCCACTCGGTGACACTCCCGTGACGGCGAAGAGCGAGAACATCGACAGAAAGCCTGGAACAGTCACTCAACTGTCGTGCTTCGGCAAACCACTCGATTCCTGCAACAAGATCAGAGATCCGTCCCTCCCACTGGTGCTCAATGCTATACTGCGGGCAAACCGGCCCACCATTGACCGTCTCAGCATAGGAAGATTCTACGTAGCGCTTCTCCAGGATCTCTTCAACAATTGTTCGTGTCGTTGCAGTGGAATAGTTCAACTTTGAATGCTGGCGAATCTCAGACTTCAAGCTCTTGAAGAACGCACGAATCTGACCCAAATGCACCCCACGCTCTTCGATGGCAGCAATCTTGCATGAAGCTTCGCTGTTTTCCTTAAAACCGCAGGCAACTGCTCTGACCTTGCTACGAACAGTTTGGTTCAAACGGGAAAACACATTTCCATGTGTTTTGAAAAGCTTTGCCTCATGCTGATATTCTGGCAATCCATTAGCACGTTTTATAGAAGGGTCCGTGGAGTCATCTTCCATTAGTTTTTTCCAGCCATCCTCTAACTTCAGGCTGCCTGTCGCATCCTTCGCAAGTCCGTCGTTTTCTCTTGCAGGGTCTGCCAAATAATTCAGGATTTGTCGTCGATCACAGGGCTGTGTTGCCTCACAGCATGTCACATCCCAATCAGCTAGAGCCTCCACTAGAGGACCTGAAGTTACTAGTTCAGATCCAATTCGCCCGCTGGGAGTGTAAACTTGCAAGTCCTTGTCCAACTTGTCCGTAAAATGGATCTCCAAGCTGCACCAAATCCTGCTCAAGGAGCCAGCGTCTCGGTCTACCACCAGGACAGTACCTTCAGCCATTGAAATGGCACAGTAAAAGGGGCTGGCCTCCAACTTGGCGCCAAAGTTTTCGCCGAACTGGGAGTTCGCAAAGGTGCAGACCCAAATGGCGACCCTGTGATGATAGCCTCGGTCAGAAACCAGTTTGTCCACCACTTCCATGAAGTCTCGAAAATAGCCACTCCAAGAATGGCTCATCAGGATGGTGGGTGGTTGCGATCCTGTGGCAACCAATTCTACCCAGGACAGCTTTGGCGGCCCATCACACTTCCGCTTAGTATGCAGGTGCATAATGACCGGTCTAAGAACCAAATCGCTGATGTGGTACATGTTGAGAATATACCAATGGATTGTCTGGGCATCCTGCTTCAACTGCCCGGTCTTGCACAAACGCTGCAAAAAAATCCGCAGGCTTCGCAGCTGATAGACTGTAATGGCCCGATCTGGGGCCCTTGGAATCTTGCTCGGAGCATCTGGCCATGGCACAGGCATCTGGCCATGGCACTCGCGACATGTGATGGTCCAAACTTGTTGATCATATGGGGGTTGTTCAAAAGTCCTTTCAATTTTTTCCAGGCCTTTCGCAGGACCTTCGCGAAGCTTTCGCAAGCTTTCGCGCGTGGGGTTTTACCACTGTCGGCGAAAATGGTTTTTCGTTGGGGCTAGAGGCTTTCAATTATTCATGCAGTTGCCCTGGCACGTCTTGCATCCTCTGATCACTGACACATTGGTTGCTGAGGAACAGGAAGCCAGCCAACCAAGCCATTTTCATTTTGGTGTGGTTTGGTTGGGAGCAACCCCCCATGAACCAGAGACGGCTCAGGCCAGTTTGCTCCGACTTCCAATTTGCTTGTCTGGACCGGGAAAAAGCAAAATGGCTCAGACTTTCAAGTTGCTTGGGGCGGGAAAAAGCAAAATGGTCCAGACTTCCAAGTTGCTTTTTCCCGGGCCGGGAAAAAGCAAGATGGTTCAGACTTCCAATTTTCTTTTTCCCGACCCGGGAAAAAGCAACATGCATCAGACTTCCAATTTCGAAAGCAATTTGCCGCACAGATTTCCAATTGCTTTCTCCAGCCTGGAAACAATCAGCACCGGGGAGGTTCAAGCCCACAACCTTCTGCTTATAAGTTTCGTGCCTTATCCATTAGGCTACATCTCTCTGGAAAACAAGCCCTTTTCAGGCTCGAGGCAAACTGGATATCCAGCCCGCTCATCCAATTTGCTTTTCCCGGCTCAAACTTCCAATTTGCTTTTTCCCGGGCCAGAAAAAGAAAAATGGTTCAGAATTCCAATTTGCCTTTTCCCGGGCCGGGAAAAAGCAAAAGGTTCAGACTTCCAATTTGCTTTTTCCCGGCCGGGAAAAAGCAAAATGGTTCAGACTTCCAATTTGCCTTTTCCCGGCCAGGAAAAAAGCAAAATGGTCCAGACTACCAATTTGCTTTTTCCCAGGCTGGGAAAAGGCAAAAGGCTCAGACTTCCAATTTGCTTTTTCCCGGGCCGGGAAAAAGCAAAATGGTTCAGACTTCCAATTTGCTTTTTCCGGGCCGGGAAAAAGCAAAGTGGTCAAGACTTCCAATTTGCTTTCTCCCAACCCGGGAAAAAGCAAAATGGTTCAGACTTTCCAAGGCGGGGGAATAAGCTGCAGACTTTCATTTTTTTCCCGGGCCGGGAAAAAGCAAAATGGTTCAGACTTCCAATTTGCTTTTTCCTGGGCCGGGAAAAAGCTAAATGGCTCATCCAATTTGCTTTTTCCCGGGCCGGGAAAAAGCAAAATGGTTTAGACTTTCAATTTGCTTTTTCCCGGGCTAGGAAAAAGCAAAATGGTCAAGACTTCCAATTTGGCCCGGGAAAAAGCAAAATGGTTCAGACTTCGAATTTGCTTTTTCCCAACCCGGGAAAAAGCAATCGGAAGTCTGAAGAGCAATTGTTTTTGCAGCGTGGCCAGGTCACCAACATGACTTGCGCAGACCTTTCGCAGGACCTTCGCGAACCTTTCGCGACTGCAGTGAGAGCACAGCCTTTGAAATTTGATTACTAACAAGGAAGAGGTGGGTTTTTGAACGACGCTCATATGTCTTTTGGAGCATCACGACTCTCAGGATTGCCAATCGCTCCACAGAGTATCAACAACATCGATGGTCCATAGGTCCATAGGTCCATAGGTCAGAGATTCCCAACGAAGTGGACGTTGATCATAGTGGAAGTTCCAGGTGTTCCAAGACGTGAACCTACCCAAAGCTTACGAGGTGCTCTTACATCTCTGTTGCCTACATTATATGATGATTGCAGGTACCTTGGTACCTTTCGAGGTATCAAACAGCAACACTACGGGTATCGCCCCGAGAAACTGTGTCTTTAGCAATGATAAACATTGTATTCTTCTGCAAGGTTGCTTGTCGCTCCCCACATGTTTGCCAACATATTTGGTGATGCCATGGCAGCTCAAACCTTTACATAACGGGAATTTCAACATTGCACATATGCTTCCTATACTAATAGGATCTCCCCACAAGTAGACTATAAATATATATATATATACTTCTTGCACCGTCTTTTTTGGATTGTTTTTAATCTGCCGTTGTGGTTAGGCAATTAGATCGGCTAGAGAAGACACTGACTTCTTTGAGCCACCAGTGCTGTTCAGGTTGACCGGCATGGCGGCAACTTGCAAGGGAACCAGTGGCTCTCCACCAGTGGCGCGACTTCAAACCGAGGTGACATGGGACGGTTCCACATGGAACTCCGCTGATTGGTGACGAACTCAGAAGGATTGACCATAGCTATCCATGGCTCCCGGGTAAAGGTCATGGAGTGTTGCAAGAAGTGTACTGAAAGCAAGTAAACTTTGGCACAAACTTCCACACAATCATCCACACACTGCAACTTGAGAAAAAGAAATGAAAAGAATTGAAACAGATTGAAAAAGAAGCAGAAGAAGTCAGACATGAGTCTTACAGGATTGTGTCCTGAGATCTTCAAGTCTTCCTCCAAATCTCTCTGAGGCTCGGCTAAAAGGTGCTCCACACCGATCAGCGCGCGAAGTCTTCGGAGACCCGGTTGCCTTCAGCGAGGCACCACGGAGGCACCACCCACGTCTCGTTGCGGACCCTGCGGCGACGGGGTCACGGTGGGCTTCCGTTCGACCCTTGAAGACCTGGGAACGGCCTGGTTTTGTAAGATCCTTAGTAAACGGCCTGGCTGTTTCGGATTTCAGGCCTTTCAAACCGTCGGCTTCGAATTTCGCCAGGGTTGAGCAAGCTTTCGCCAGACTCATCGGCTTCATTTCCTGCTCATCGGCTTCTCAAAACCACCTCAATGCTCCGCTTGAGCAGCGATTCTCCCGAAGCGCCTTGGCATCTGATGCACTCCCGAATCGGCGCCCGGGCGCGCAAAGGGAGAGATGCTCATCACCAAGTCCTGGCTGGTGAACCATGGGGCCATGCATCCCTTGGCTAAGGGTTTAGCCTTTGGTGGTTGAGTAAGACATCATTTCTAGACCAAAAGGACTAAGGGTTATAAGTCGAGAACCTACCCAGACAGTGCATGTATGGAATAGTTAGTTACCTACATTGGGGCCATGTATATAACTATTCCAGTCCCAGACATTGTCTGGTCTGGGCTGCTTGCTCGTTTAGTCCAAGAACATCCCCGACACCGACACCGAAGTGGAGATGTTCGACACCTCCGTCCTCTTGTTTCACCGGATGTTTTTTGGAAGAGAATGGCCCAAACATGCCCAAACTGGGTGCGTTTGGAGAGGTCTAAAATGACTGGTTGTCTACCGTAGGTGTCCTCAGGAAGACACCAGTACCTTGCCCGGACGTGGCCATATGTTGGATGGATGGAGCAAAGAAGGTGTCATTCAGATTCTATTTTAAGTATAAGCGGTCTAAGATGGTCTAAGTATGTTGATTCCCTTCTCACAGAGGATGCTGGGCCCCCCCCACCCCGGCTAAAAAGACATCCCTATACGCTCTGACATGCTCTGACATTTAAAAGCATGCATGTTCTAGTATAGGGAACATCAGCAGCCATGGATTCAGCACCTCATGGATTCCTGGATGCTACCAAATACGACCTCATTCAAGCGGCTCGCGGCTCGCGAAACAGGGCTCTCAGACTCCGAACGACCTCATTCGTCGCCATCCCGAACCAAACTGGGCCAGCTCGTCGCGCATCATTTGGGGGTCCAAACCGCCACCGGTGTGGCCCAAACCGACCTCCACGTCACCGCCACCCGCTGGGTCTCCACGAACGGCACGTCGGACAGCGACACCATCACTCGTCGGTCTCCAAGGTACGGACAGCCCTGTTCCTCGAGGTCATAGAGCCCACAAGGGCCTTCCACCAGCTCCTAGGTCAGCGGAACAGAAGAGGTCAGTGGTTTGGACATCGAGAGGAAATAGCTGTCTTCCCGGTTTGGGGCCCCCAACCAAAGGTGTCCCAGCAAATGAGCCTGAAGAATATTCCGATGAATCCCAGTTTTGATGGAAAAGTACCTGCAGTAACACTTGGAAGGGAAATTCTGGCTTGTCTCCTATCACATCGTATACCCAAATAGGACAACAGTGCTTGTCACTCTCAACTTGAGGGACTCTGGGAACATTGGGACAACAAGCTTGTTGGTTCCTGACAGATGTACAACTCACAGTCACAAACCGGGGAGGCTGCTGATCAACAATAAACGATTTGAAAGAATCACTTCGACTTGCCCAATGACAATCAGTGGTTGCGTGGACCCTGCCTGACACCGAAAACTTGTGATCTACCGCTCACCAGAGCTCCTCCTCCTTGTCACACCGGCTGATGTGCAGCATTAGCTCTCGATCTGCAGCAAGTTGTTGGAAGGTTCGCGATTGCCACCTCAAGGCCTCGAGCTTCTGCGAAGGGGACCATGGCGAACATCCGAATTGAGGCTTCATGGGTGAGTTCGGGCAGAACTTTCTGCAGAGTACATCAGCAGAAAGAGCTGCTGTCAAACAACGTCGTCTTTGATAGCAAAATCTATAGATCCTTGGTTCCCTGCTTGAGGGGGAATATGAGTGTCTCCCCTCGATTTTCCAACAGAATGGCTCCAACATGTCTATAGAACAGTGCCTTCAGTCTTCTTGTCAGCAAGTCAGAAGCAAACTTCTAGGATTCACTTGACTCCGATCATCTTTCAACCCGGTGCTCTTGCAGATCTCCATCCGCTGCTTTGGCCAAACAAACCCTTCAACATCACAAGGAACTTGGAAGGATTTGGGGTGGGGATTGATCATGACCTCAGCCGGATTGGTTGGGGCAAGGCCTGCCCAGCGGCCTCCATGTTCCGCCCAGTTTCTTCGGTACTTTTCCGACAGAGAGGTGGGAACTGGCGCTTACTGATGCAGCCAAATGCAGCCAATAGTCTTGCGCCACCGGCGTGTTCTACATGATGATCTTCCTTTTACATAGACATCTTTGAGAAGTAAAGTTTAGATGGGTGTGCTTGGGATTAGCTGTGGGGCCCTCATGGTGCGCGCAACATCAAGTTCTTTGCAAACAACTCGTTTTTGTGCGAAATCTCCTGTTAGACGTTTCGGACAAGGATGAACAGCTACATTACAAAAATGGAATGTTGCAGCTTCTACCATCTTCTACCCCTGGTCCTCCTCCGCCTCCGGCTATGACCACCACCGATGCCATTCATGTTCGTTGACCCCACGAAACCCACGGCAGGCGACAAACTGTATCGCAGCATACTCCGGCGCCAATCGGCGCTTCCTCAGTGAGTTGGCGAGCCAGTCTGGAGCTGCAAAGCCGACACTGACACGAGGAAAACCCCCAATGAAGCAAAAGGACACTGATATTTTCTCCCCTAGGGTGGAGGAGAGATGAGGATCCATCAACTATCCTAAACGATACATGTATGGAATAGTATACATACAACCCATTGATGACCCTAATGTATTGGTATGAAACTCCACAGAATCATGAAAAAGAGTGGAACGCACCTGAAGTGGCGGTCAGGAGCGCAGAAGGGTGGTGCCCATCATTCTGTTAAGCCCATCATCTGCCGGAGTTTTGCCTGGAAATATACCGTGAACTGTCCATTGACTGTGTACTGCTAGCCATTGGTCGAAAACCAGGTTCTGTCCATCACCAAGCTCTGCCGGCTCCGCCCCTCCAAGGCCAAGGATCAAGAGCACTTGAAGCGTCTGGTTGTGGCACAAGTCCGTGCGATGTCCCAGGCGGAAGTTCACACGTCGCATCTGGTTCCACGTCTGGGGAAAGGCGGGCGCCTGCGCCGCGGTCATCGCGGGAGGCCGCGGGAGTGCGGGCCGTTGGAGAAGGGCCGGTCATCGCTGGAGTGAAACGTGATCGATCTAGGTTGAACAACCGAAGCTGTTTGACACAAGTCTTGATCACGCCTGACTCATCCAAACGACTTCATTGGCAAGTCTCATTCCTTAGACTCTTCAGTTCCCTCCGACAACGGTCCCCAACCTGGAGCCATTCAGCAAGAGTCGAATAGGTCTTCCGGTCATTGAGGCTGGCGCGGTGGAGGACAAAAAGACGTTCATGGCGGAAAAGCTTGATGAGCTCCAGCAAGTGCAAATGAATCCTCCAAAGAAGTTTGATCTGCTGGATGTTTGTTGATCAAAGATTCCTTCTGTGAAGGGGAGTTTTACCCAAGCCAGGCTCACAAAGGACTTTTGTTCAGCAGCCTGGGGAATCACCACTTCCTCTCCAATGCGCGATGATATTTTTCCAGGGAAGGTAGCCGGTCTTCTCGTTGTCAATCCAATCTTGCCCCTAGTAGGCAGTGAAAGATCAATCAAACATGTTACTCCTAGGCCTGACAAAAGCAGCCCTGATGCAGGAACTCTATGCAGGTGTATTCCAGTGTATCGCAGATTCCCATCGTACATTCCGAACGGGCTTTGGAAAAAGTACAGATACCCACACGTGCCAGCCTAAATCCACTCTCTCCCCTTTCCCATGGATGTTCAAAATCATGGGTGAGGGTGAAGGATAGAAAACAGATCCGTATCTAGTTTGGACACAAAGAGCATGCATCTAATTGTTGCTTGTGAGGCTACCATTCTGCATAGCACCAAAAAACAAACGATTCTTGGTCACTCAACGCAACCACGCTGCATTTGGCTGCGGAGCCAGGCGCTATGCCGACTTGACAGCAAAGCATGGATGCTGGGATCGCAGTCCTCAAAGCCCAGTCCCCTAGAATCGAAGGACCGAAGGACTGCAAAATACACCGAGTCTGCAATCCTGGAACGTATGTGGTATGTGGGAGTCCATCTAAAGGCGGACCTCGAAACCCATCCAGAAACTCACGGACACGATGTACCAGCTATATTGTTCATTTATGCCTGCCCTTGCCATGTGCAAAGTACTTCAACATCCGAGATCCAGGTTCACTGAGATCTACTGAGATACTGTAAGAAAGACTCGGGCAACTTCCTCAAGTATTAAGGTGGATCGTGACCCCGGTGGATCACAGACCACTTTGGAACCAGGAACAACTCGGGGCCCTCGTTCGGTCGATGGTCACCTTATTCGAACTACTGGGACTCTGTTCTTGGTTTGGATCCACTGAAAGATATGAGTGGTGAGATCTGAAGACGGCGGAGAGAGATGTGGCATGACATGAAGGGAGCTGCTTTGGGAGGACCGTCGGCCTTGAAGAATCTCAAGAAAATACCGTAACTCCATCGCTCAAAACCCACAGAACCGAGCTGATTCCCGAACCGAGCTAAGCAGCAGCACTGTGCCAATTCGCACAGTGAGCTGACTTTGAAGCCTCGGGGAGGAACGATGAAGCCGAAAGTTTGATGCCAGGGCTCATTCCTGGATTTCAGAACTCTGGGAATGGCATCCTTTCGAGCTTCAGCCGCCTCCACGTCAGGGTGACAGTAGTGGAACCACATGAACTGCTTCTCGATGCGACTCAAAGGATCGCCTCGATGGGACGAGGATCGTTTCGTCACCCGTGACTTACTGCAGTTCGTCATCCTGAATCCTGGTTGTGTATATGTGACCACCGCGTATCACACAAATACACATTTTGGTTGGGTATATACCATTGATCCCTGCAACCATGGATGATGATGGTTAGGTTGCAGGCCTTTCTCAAAAAATGTGATTGTTTCGACTGTGATCCGTGGGACAGGGACCTGGTATCATGAGGATGGACTTGTACGAGAAGGGGTCTGTACAGTATTGGCAACCAGTTGGCTGCTTTTGAGGGTCTGCCCCAGTATACTCAGTAGATCTCAGTAGTCAGTAGTGTGATCCTAGGATTCTATAAGTACCCCCTTGAAATGGGGCCAACTCTTCTCTGCAAAACTAACCGCCTTTCAAGAAGCATCTGCACCACTTTCCAGATCTTCCACCCTTACCCATTGAACATATCATATCCTCCATCTGCCTCTCAAAGCTATATTGACATTATTTATGTGTTGTTTCACCCATCCCTCATCCTGTGGTCCTATTGCAAATACTGTCCCGGGCTTACATTCTTCCCAAACGCAGGCTACTGTACCTCAAAACCTTTTGCCCATGTTGGCTCATTGTTGACTCATGCTGACTCATGCTTCGTGGACCTTCTCGAGTACTACTCCCATGATCCTATGTCTTGTTCTCCATCGTTCGTCAGCTGGACATGGACACGCACACACACACACACACTAACTACCAGCAACTGCCCAAAAGGTCTGGCATCAGGTGAGTTGCACAGCACCAATATCATCTTCATCCTCCAAGGGCCCGTCAGAGTTTTTCATCCAAGCTCAAGTGAGGAGGGTTTCGCCCGAGCCCACTGGCAGTGGATCGAAGGGTTGGTTCCAGCGATGTTCACCACAATGCCACAATGATCTTCAACAAAGGGGTATATACACTCCCTGAAATGATCATGGAAGTGGAAAACCATTTGTTTGGTGCGGAAAAAGGTCAGCCAAGCGGCCATTTTCCACTTCCACGATTGTTCCAGAGAGTTTAGAGCTTTTTGGTGCGGGAACAACCCAAGTGACTGGCGAATATGTGCTCACTTGGTGATTCGTGAGATGGGTCATCTCCCAATGGTGGCTTTGGATGCAACTCTATCCAAGGCGATTGACCAACACAATTCCATTGAGGACACTGCCACATTGATCTGATTGCCTTGGTTGGACCCTATATATTTTGGGATGAGACGAATAGTCATTTAGATGTAACAATCATTGGGCTGGACAAGGAATGTTACCACAAAACTGTCCCATGGAAGATGATAGAAGGATGTTTGAGGAAAGTTGCAGGTGCAACTGCGAAATCTATAGACAAAAGGCGTGAAAATCTTGGAACAACATGGAGCCACCCTGTCCTTTCTTGCAAGAAGATGGTGTAGTACGAGAGCGGATACAAGGAAATCGCCGGATTTCGAAGTCCCAGCAGCCCGGGTTGTCCGCGCTGTGAGCTGCGGATTTGGAGTGCCCGGGCTGTCTGCTTCGTGGGTAGAAAGCGGTTGGACTGGCCTTCCGCAAAAATTTTGTAGTCCTCTGAAGGACCTGGCCGTGTCATCATAACTGATGAGGTGGAAAACGAGGGTCTGGGGAATGGTCTTGAAACTGCCTATATAATGTAATTGTATGTACATGTGTATATTATATATATTTATACAATTGTATAATTGTACATATGTATGTAATTGTATATATATGTACATATATCACATTACATTCAGTACTGAAGCGGTCTTCAAAATCAGACATGGTTCTTTGTCACAAACAAGCAGTGCATCTAATATACAATATATGATGCGTGATGAATGGAGGAGCGCTAATCTTCTTGAAGACCAATTTCTGAGAGTTGATCTAAAGCATCCATCAAGTTGGCGGGGGCTCCTGAGTTGGTTTGATTTGCGATACATCCAACTTGGAACTCCCCAAATCCCTCCCGCCAAAAAACAAAACTCTTGGGGTGGTCGCTTCTCAAGTGGGTGCCGTCTTCCTGTCGCCGTTGTTGGCCCCCCGCCCTCTGCTGAGGTGCCCCCGCTGGTAAAGGCGATGTTGGGATGCGATACCAGGCTTTGATGCAAAGAGGTTGTGCCGCAGCGTCCGAGGCCAGCGATCACGAAGTCCACTCCAATCTGTGAGGTTTTGCAGAAGTGGAGAATCACAAAAGATAGGAGCCCTTCAGGGATCTCATAAAATCTGCTAGAAGGAAATGGGATAGAGAGAGCATCAACCCCCCAACTAGTCAGTTTAGGAGTTGCCCATCCTCAAGTAGCTCAAGGCATCAGTAGTGTTAAACGTTGATATGGATGAAACGCTCACAAAGCCTCTCCCCAAACCAGCCCAGAAAATATCCCGGCAAGAGACCCCAAACAGCGTGTGTGAGGCCTATACTCTCACTCTCACTCTCACTCTCACTCACTCTCACTCTCAACTCTCAACTCTCACATTCACACTCAGACTCACACTCACTCATTCTCCCACTCTGTGTGAGCGTGTGTGAGTGAGTGAGTGAGTGAGTGAGTGAGTGAGAGTGAGAGTGAGAGTGAGAGTGAGAGTGAGAGTGAGAGTGAGAGTGAGAGTGAGAGTGAGAGTGAGAGTGAGAGTGAGAGTGAGAGTGAGAGTGAGAGTGAGAGTGAGAGAGCACAAAGTGCTGCGCGTGCGCCGAAATCTGCACTTCGAGATTCACAAAGTACTGCGCCTGCCACGAAATCTGCACTTCGAGGTTCACCAAGTGCTGTGCCTGCCACGAAATCTGCACTTCGCGGTTCACAAAGCGCTATGCTTGCTACGAAGTCTGCACATCCAGGTTCACAAAGTGCCGTGACTGCCATGAAATTTGCACTTCGAGGTTCACCAAGTGCTACGCCTGCCACGAAATCTGCACTTCGAGGTTCACCAAGTGCTGCACCTACCACGAAATCTGCACTTCAAGGTTCACCAAGTCCTGCACCTGCCACGAAATCTGCACTGAGGTTCACCAAGTGCTGCGCCTGCCACGAAATCTGCACTTCGAGGTTCACAAAGTGCTGCACCTGCCAGGAATTCTGCACTTCGAGGTTCACAAAGTGCTGTGCCTGCCACCAAATTTGCACATCGAGGGTCACAGAGTGCTGCGCCTGCCACGAAATCTGCAAATGAGCGATATCTCCAGAAGTCACAATTCACTGCACCTGTCACGAAATCAGAGCTCGTCGAAGATCACCACCATGTCCAAAGCACTGTGCCTGCCACGAAAACTGCATTTCGAAGTACAACAGCTCCGATCCCTTGCACCTGTCACGAAAAGTCGACTTTGGACCACGAAAACACGAGGTTTCCCTTGCACCTGCCACGAAAAGTGACCACCATGTGCGAAAATGCGCACGGCACCACAACGAGAGCGGAGTCGCTAGAAGCACCCTCCGCCGGCGGGCAGATTTTGTGAGCTGCGCCGTCGAAATGCATGTGGACGATTTCGAGAGGTATGAATGTACTGTAAATAGCGGCGAATTAGCCGCACACGCCCGCGTGGCACACCGATCTAAGCACAGCTGCTTTTCTATTACCGTAAGAACCCCTAAGTGTGTCCACACTGTTTGGGGAAAAACACCGAACAAAGGGGACAAACCAGCCAAATCCAGCCACCGTCCCACCCTTCCCACCTCATCCCAACTCACTAACTCCTTCACCAAGACCTCCGTCTCCATCTCTAGGACCTCTGTCTCCTTCACCAGGACCTCCGTCTCCATCTCCGGAAGCTCCTGAGGTTGCTCCATCTTCGGCTGACCACTCCGGTTGCTCCATCCGCGTCGTCCGGCTCGAGGTCCTCGTGGTATGGCCAAGGCAGCCTCCTCGTCACTGAAGCGCGCCAGGCGTTTCAGGAGCACCTCCTGCAGAGCCAATGGACCGATCGTCTCCTCCTGGAGCCGCATCAAATCAACGACGCGTCTTTCCGCCCCGACGGTGACGAGGTGACGAGTGCTTCGACCTTCAGACCTGGGGAGACCGAGGGGTCTGCAGGTGTCGAGCATCCCGATCGGTCGGGTTTTCACAGAGCATCTGGGGAGGGAGGTGTCTTAGATGGCTGAAAAACGAAGGTTTTGGGGAGGGTTTGAGGGCCTTTGGGGAGCTGCTCTGAAACAAAAGAGGACAAGAGTAGACTGAATACATGAAGATCCTGCGTTGCAGGGGGAAACACATAGCCCTTCTGGGTAATGTGTCCACTGATTTGTTGACCATTGCTACAAGCCATACCCAAGTTGGGATGGACCGCAGAAAGGAGGAGGAGGAGGAGGAGAGCCAAAGGCTGTTTCAGGTGGTCTACGGACCTACGGATGTTCGTTTTCTTCGTCCGCTTCGATTTTCGTGTGCCATCTTTGCCCTGCACCCAACCGATCTGCCAGACCCAACTGCAGCTCCTCACAGCTCGGTGGGCTACAAAACATCCCATACCTGGGCCAAACCGCGGTGACCGGTTCGGACACCCGGTGACCGTTGACCGGTCCAAACCGCCGGAAGATGAACTGGACCTCCACGTGTTGTATTGAGCGGGGAAGACGGGTGTCTGACACTTCTTAGCTCCCCACCAAAGCCTAAAAACCCTTAGCTAGTCTTCGCATATCTTAGCTATACTTAGCTGTAGAAGTTTGAGCACTCGGCTCTAAACTCGTGCAGGCGAGCGGCTCTGTAACCTTGAAACATCTTAACTACCTGGAAAGACTCTCGCTTTGATGAAGCAAGAATGTCTCCGGCACCCATAAATCTCTCTGAACCCATCCTGTTGACCACAGCAACTGAAACTGAGCGGATTGATGTTCTCAGTCAACTCGAGCCATTCAAGCGGATCATCTAATTACTTGGATTTGCTTGAGGAACCAGAAGAAAATCCCACCAAAGAGGATGCACTGAAAGGAGAAACAAAGAATCACCCTACGAAAACTAGGCAAACTCCAGATTCCTCATTTCGGCCAATGTGCTGAATTGCCGCTGGGTTGTTCTCCAAGATTGTCGCTAACCTCTCCGCTAAGGTCGGATATGTGTGGAGCAAGCGATGCAGATAGGGGCCCACCTGGGGCTGCCGGATGCACGTCTCATGTTGATCGAGTCAATATGTTTCAGCTGCAGTTGTTCCTTTTGAAGAAAATGACCAAACAGAACAACTGCAGCTGAAACACTTGTTTCTTTTGTTTCTTTTGTTTGGTCCTATAAATCAAAAGATATCAAAAGATTAGAGTAAGTAAGAAATGACCAAACACCAGGTAGCTACAGCCCTTGCGCTCCGGACATGCGCCCGAGTGTTTGGGCGATCTACAGTTGTGGACGTCGGATCCGGACGTTGGATCGCCATGCTCCGAGTTGAGAGTCCAAACTCGATCTAGATGTTGATCAGGAATCGACCAGGGGGGAAAAAAGGGACGTGAGAGTGAAGGAAATCGTGAATCAACTCATTATACTGTGAATCGATTCTGTGTAGATCCCACAAAAGGGGCTGGTGAGATGGACTTGGTAAAAAGAAAACAAAGCACACCCACCCAGTCGAAGGAAAGTACAGGGTTGATTGTCCAATGCTCCATTCATTCCCCACATGGTCCGTGGTCCAATTACTTTAGTCACCAACATGGCCTTCCGCCGTTTTTTCACGGCCGGCTCTGGATGAGAACGCCACCGACGTGCTAGTCTCCAATCGTCCTCCCCTCCCCCAACAAACAGCAAAGCAACTACCCACAGATGTTCTTTGGACTCCTCCGAGTAGTTCTACAATGAGTCTTGATGGAAGAGGTTCTTGGGTTCCACATGGAGTCTTTTGGACGCCCTCTTCCATGTAGATTCTTGATGAAGAGGTTCTACAATCCATGTCCGGGGGGTTGAAACTGCATCAAACGTCTATTGGCGACGTGAGGCTCGCCGAGGGTGAAGATTACTGACCATCTTCACTTGGACCTCACAACCCTCACAGGGCACACCAAAGCACCACTGTCCCCAAGATCTCCTGTGCATGACTGGTTGGTGGTTTCAACTCACTTGAAAATACTAGTCTAGTGGGTAGTCTAGTGGGTTCAATGATCCCGAGAAAAAGACTGACAGTAAACATATCTGAAACCACAACCCACCCCAGGTTCTTCAACACGACCTTTTGGCATCCTGCTTGGTCCGGCCACACAATAGTTGGCCTGTTTACAGTGTCACAGGGTCAGTGCAAATCCCATGGCCCATCCATGATCATCCATGCATCTAGTTCTCTTACATGGACCCCGAACCGCATGAACCCCGACATGGACCCTGAAAACCACGGGTTTAGAGGGAAAAACCAGCCATGAGGAACCCGGGTCCAATGTGAGTGTGTCTATTGAGTGGTAAGCTCTTCCAGTCCCATTCCTCTGGTCTGGCGATGCTCGCGCCTTCAAGCCCACCTCAAACACTCGGCCCTGCAGCACGCCCACCTGAGCTCCGCGAGCACGCCCGCGCCACGACGTGCGCGCGCCACGCACACGCGCCAGCCCCACAGCGGCCCAAGAAGCCCGGCGGTCGCGCCAGGGAAACCAGAAAGGACGATGATATGATATGATATGATATGATATGATATGATATGATATGATAT